CCGGATAATCTTCCGCGTTTTGCAAAAAATGTAGGCAGTCGGAAGTACGAAACATTTCGTAATTTACGACCGAGATCGTTCGCCTCGCAGAAAAATTCTGCACGAAAGAGGAAAATTAAAAATTCGTATTTCGTACTGTGAACGCGATCCGGATCGCGCATTTGCCAATCATTCGCTGCGTTCCTCTGTTAATTTTCGACTCGAATCGAAGATTTCGAACCTGCCATTTGACAAGACGGTGATTGAACAAAAGTTTGACGTGCTAGATCTGTTGATTTCCTTACTCGCGTTGAAAGAGTGAGGCAACATTTGCACACTTGTTCAATCACGTACGAGCGAGTGACCGAGGCTTGGTCTTTTTCGCTCTGTTGAAAGAGAACAACAAGATTGTAAAGCCACTAACCGTCTGCGTTTTCTCTGGAGCTTTCGGAGTTCATAAATCTGAACAGTCACAGATATATGCGGCGAGTGAAATATTTCCACGCGAGAGGAAATACTCAAACGTTTCACTGACAGTCTCGATTAGCTTGTCTCCCTTTGCCTTTCTCTTTCTTCCCGTCAAATTTTGCAGATTATCGTTCCGAATTTCTACCAAAACTGGCGGTCCTCGACTTTCGTACTTAATTGGTTCCTGTAAGAACTGTGTACGAAAGTAGAGCAATGTAAGAAAGAAGTTTCTCTTTACAAATTTATTAAGAGATAGCTGAATTGTACTTTTCTATCTTTTCCCATGACGGTCAAAAATTTGTCAAAATTCATGCGCATTTCTGCGATGAAAAGAATGTACGAAATTGTATGAAAATCAAGGATCGTCTGTAGTTACTACAATGTTGTATTAGAATAGAAAGCTATTGTTGCTACGTCACGCGTCAAGCGAGGTTTCACACACCAGATATTTCTTCAGACTGTCACCAGCTAAAGGATTTGAATCATTTATCTGGCTTAAACGTTCTGTAACTACTTCTCTAAGCATTTTCTGTTCATAAATCCTTGTCACTTCCACCGCTGCAAAACAACGCGCCGTCTGTAAAAATGTAACGGACTAAAATTCTTCTTAATTAATAAATGTTACCGGCAAACGAATCGTATCATATTCGCCAGGCTGAACTTTTTAAACGAGAAAGGGATTAATATTCATTTAAATATTCTCCCCTCTCGCTAATATGACGCATGACTTCGTTACGGAAGTTCGTTTGTTACTTGGGTGTATTTATTAAATTTATTAAATTGTATAACCTTAAGTATGTTTCCCACGGTATTAAAATATTCCGTGACATTGAGCATGTAGCGAAATGAGATTGTGTTACACGCGCGAGACAATCGGATTTGACGCGTTCGATACGCACGCTCGACTGAACTTTGCGCAATTTCCGTCCATTCTTCTTCTTTCCGGTATCTCGCGACGAAATCTCTGCACACTTGATTGTCTCCAAAAAAACAAAAAAAGAAGTAGGAGATTAAACAACAGAGATTACTTGCTTGTAATCAGTGATATTTTTATAATAATTCAGAAACACTTCCGCGTAATAACTTTTTTTGATCATTTTGCTGGGTGCAATTCCTGTACAATGTATCTTATTTTGCAAATACTTTTCCTCGATTATTTCATACATGGGCTGTGGGTATTTTCATCAACGTGACAAGGAAGAAATTGACATTCAACAAAGATTTGTTTCATCTATTAAATATTTGACGAGTACATTGCATCTTGTGTATTTGTCCATAAAATGGTAACGTTATCACTTCGAAAGTTACTAAATTTTTCAATTCGAAATATTTAATAACACCAGTAATGATAAATTAACAACTTATTTTATTCTGAGAAAAGAAAAACGGAGAAATATTTTTATCGTCGTTTTAAGTTTGTTCGGTGTTATCGAACGAGGGACACGTTGGATTTTCGCAGAAATCATAAATCCGCGAAAATTTCGCCGGTAGATTCGCAAGCGGCGGGACTGAACAACAAATATCGCGTGTAGACACACGTTGTTCGTTAGTAAACGTTCCACGAATACGAAGGCCAGGCGACGCAACGTGCTTTAAACACGTCGGCCCGGGAATTTTTTTATTTCGCTCACGTGTACTCGCCAGCTTACGTGTGCCACATATAACAACGGCATAATTCTTCCCGGCCGGAGGGGAGACTTTTCTCGGCAGTTCCGAAATACCATAGTTCTCTCGTACGCTTGCTAACGTCGTTCCTTTTTACGCGTAGAACGCGTGAGATAGGCGAGAGGTCGCCGTTTCTCAAAAACTCGCGCGATTTGCATAAGGAGACGCATCTGCGCCGAGTTGCCTAATTGTTCCACCATCTCCGGCCTTTTATGTTCGTTAATGTATCTCTGATGGCAGATAAAGGAGTATGAGCTGAATTTTGATCGAAAGTCACTGTTCGAGAAAAAGAAAAAAAAAAAAAAAAAAA